CCTATAGGGGATTCTCATGGTACTCCTCTAGAGGACTATGGTATTTAGTGGGGATATGTTATTTTGGTTTTTCATGTTATTTTTTTCTCTGTGATTTTGAAATGTGAATTTCTTTTGTAGTTTCTGCTTCTTGAGTGAGACTCAAGCTTTGAAGTTTAGGTCTGCTTCTTTTTGTGAACTTTATGTCTTTGTAGTTTTCTTTTTGGGCATGAAAAGCTGGTTCGTCTAAGCTTCCAGTTCTCTCTTTTGATTTTATATTGGAGTGGCCAAATTGCTTTTTTCTTCAGGAGTTCCCACAGAGGTCCAAGTCAGATGAGGATCAGATGCTCTCAGGCTTTCTCCTAAGGTCTGTATCCCTCCAGGATAGACTTTGGCCTCAGGAATTTGGGGATTGGACTGGCCTTGGAGCAGGGCCCAGGAAAGATGCTGGTCTCGGGCAGCTGGTGGCCATGCCACCCAGGAATGGAAAGGGAGTTGGGAATGGGAAGAGGCCCCAAGGGCTCCTGGGGACTGCAGAGAGGAACTGAGTTGGTCTGGATGTAAAGGATCAGGAAGCAGTGGTGGCTCCAAGCAAAGCAGTTAGCCCCAGTGTTTGGGGTGCCAAGACAAGAAATGGGACAGTACCTAGGCTAGGAGGAGTGACGGGGGTGGGGGAGCTGGGAGGGTGAATGAGGCTGGTGGTGTCAAGGCACCATGGGTTAAGATAGAAGATAGACTTGCCCAGGAAAGAGGCTGGTGGGTTGTGCAGCCCAGGGAAGTAGAGGGAGGAGACCAGGCCCAGAGGGCTCCTGGGGACCATGAGAAGGAACTGGGTTGGGCTGGATGCAAAGGATAAGGAAGCAGTGGTGGTTCTGGGCCCACAGGTCAGCCCCAGTGTCTAGAGTACCAAGACAAGAAATGGGACAGTATCCAGGCTAGGAAGAGAGATGGGAAGGGGAGGTGGTAGGGTGAATGAGGCTGGGGGAAACAAAGTACGCTGGGCACTGACAGACTTACCCAGGAGAGAGCCTGGTGAGTTGTGTAGCCCAGGGAAGCAGAGGGAGGTGAGGGCAGTACCAGGCCCAGAGAGCTTCTGGGGACCATGAGAAGGAACTGGGTTGGTCTGGGTGCAAAGCATCAGGAAGAAATGGTGGATCCGGGCCAAGCCCCGGTGTCTGGGGTGTCAAGACAAGGAATGGGACAGTACCCAGGCTAGGAGGAGAGACAGGCAGGGGAGGTGAGAGGGTGAATGAGGCTGGGGGAGTCAAGGCACAGGGTGCCAATGTACTTACCCAGGGAAGAGACTAGCGGGTTGTGCAGCCCAAGGAAGCAGAGGGAGGTGAGGTGGGAACAGGCCCAGAGGGCTCCTGGGGACCAAAAGAAGGAAGTGGGTTGGTCTGGATGCAAAAGATCAGGAAGCAGTGGTGGTTCCAGGCCGAGAGGTCAGCCCTGGTGTCTGGAGTGCCAAGACAAGAAATGGGACAGTACCCAGGCTAGGAGGAGAGACGGGGTGGGAGGAGGTGGAAGGATGAATGAGGCTGGGGGTGTCAAGGCACAGTTGGCACCAATGGACTTACCCAGGAGAGAGGCTGGTGGGTTGTGCAGCCCAGACAAGCAGAAGCAGGTCATTTCAAAAGTTTTAAGTACTAGAAAACAGTCAAAATCACTGGATACAACAATTAATCCAAAATTCAGATTTTCATCTGAAGGATCACGTTTCATCATCAGCCAGAACTATTATTGGTTTTCCCATAATAAATAGCTTGTTCTTATGAAAATACATGCCAAATACAAATATCTGAATAAATAAAACTTGCCAGTCATTTTGTCAAGAAAAATATGGAGTTCTATGAGATCAGCAACTAATTCAGCTCAAGACTCAAAATCTGCATTAACATCTTCCTTCAAGTCAACTATCATGGTTTTTGTTTTTCTAGGGTTTTCATATGTGTACGTGTGTACGTGTGTGTGTGTGTGTGAGTGTGTGTGTGTGTGTGTTCTATGTACATATGTGTGTCTATGTGTACGTATGTGGCCGCACCTGTGTATACGTGCAAGTAGTGGCCTGAAGTTGATGTTAGGAATCTTCCTTGATTGTTCTTCACCTTATTTGTTGAGATAGGGTCTCTTGCAGAACCCAGAGTTCACAGATTCTGGCTAGTCCCAGCATGCCCCAGGGATTCCAGGTCTCTGAGTGCTGGAATCACAGGCAGCAGTAATGCCTGCCTGGCTTTTACATGGGTTCTTATACTCAGAACTGTTTCTTTGTATGGTAGAGGTAGAGAAAGTCAATATGCAAGTAGTTTTATAAATAAGAAGGAATTTAACAATGTGATGAATACCCCAAAACATTAAAACTATGAAGAGTAAGAAGTTGGGGAAGGTATCAGTTACTTTAAATAAGCATCTCACTAATATAGTGTCTTGGTAGTTGAGACTTGAAGACCTGGAATAAGAGAATGGAAAATAGGGAGGCAGGTGAATCCTGGTGACCTGAGACTGGATCCACAGCAAGTGAGCCTGAGCCATAACAACCAAGGAAGAGAATGACACAGATGAGGCCAGCATCACAGGCAGGGGCCAGGCAGGAACTGAAGGGAATCTGATTTTTGCATAGCACCACAGTGGTTCACACAACCCAAGAAAAGCCATTTACCTTTTTAAAATTAGAGATAATGGCATTAAAGATATAGGGAGAAAGCTAACAGGTTAGAAATCATAAGACCTGATTCAAATTCCACTTTTCCCTATTGTATCTTTAAATCAAACAGGAAAACTAATATTTATTAACACTAATAACCACCAAAGTCTAAATTGGGCATCTGACTTGATCCTGTCTTACTGAATTCAACTTGGGATCGTTATTTCATAGCCCTCTAATCCTCAGTTTCTAACTCCATAAAATGAAAAGAACAGCAATATGCTGTACCTATACAGTGGATTATTAGAAAAGTGCATTTATCTTAATATATAATGCCAGGCGTGGTGGTGCATGCCTTTAATCCCCCCACTCAGGAGGCAGAGGCAAGGGGATCTCTGTGAGTTCAAGGCCAGCCTGGTCTAAATAGTGAGTTCCAGGACAGCTGGGGCTACAGGGAGACCCTGTCTCAAAAAGACTGAAAATAAAAAAAAAAGTTCCTGATGGCTGAATACCCATTTAAAGGCATTATCAGGGTCAGTGAGATGGCTCTATAGGTAAAAGGACTTGCCACCAAGCCTAATCACCTAATTTCAATCCCCAGGACCTCCATGGTAGGAGAAGAAAACCAACTCCAGAAAGCATTCTCAGACCTCCACAGGCATACTATGGTTCACATATGTGCACACACATACACATGCATACATATATACACAATTAATTAATTAATTAATTAATTGAATAAATAAAGTAAAAAAGAAATGTAAATGCATTATCAAAGTAAGTAATGATGTTTCTGATGCTAAAAAATAAAACAGCAATTGACTATCTCTTCTCTTCTGTTTGTCACCAGACGAAAGAACTAGGAAAACAGTATGGTATTCAGAGACCCAGGTGTTCCACTTTAAGTTAAAATGAAAACTGTGACATAATTTTTCTCAAGTTCTACTTATCTGGTTTTTCTTAATCATTTCAACTTACATATACACTTTCTACATCTACTGGAGTCAACTTGCAAAGAGAAAGGCTCTCCTATTTCTTGGCAGCCTTTCATGCACACCGAGCTTTTGCTGCCACACACAACACCTGTGAAGCCATTTCATGAGCTCTCACATTACTAATCAAGAAACTCAGCAATCACATAGCTTTGAAAACTGGGGAAGATCCAATAAGAACAGTAAAGTAATGAATTAAGTCAGCCAACAAAGTTCATAAGAAACATTTATACTCAATATGGAAGACTGCAATAACTATTCAAGGATGTTCCATATAAACAAAAAACATATTTAATAAAGGTTCATGTACAATTATTCACACAAGCTTTCAAGGTGTATTATTTCTTTTATATCTAAGGCATCCCAAACAATAATCATATTATACATGGAGCATAATTATATATTCTTTAGAGTGTATTAACTTTAAAGCTAATTGCTAAGATTTATTTGCTTATTTGTTATTGCTTCTTTTACTTCAATAAGATAACTCAAGCTGTAAATTACTAAGAGCAGAGACCGAAATTTACATTTGCAAACACTAGCTGCAGCATACTTCTAGACTTAAGAGTAGATGCTTGAGTGACCTTATAGAAAACTATCTAAGCCCCAAACAAATTGATCTACAGTACATTTTTTGACTGCAGATTTCTTCAAGCTCGTGGCACTCACCTCTGGTATACAAGCGCCTGTGAAACCGAAAAGGCCATTGGCATTGTCACTCTTCTGTATTCGTAATCTAGCTGTAGTATTTTCTTCAGAAATCTGAGCCCCTCCATATACAGAGACTAGTTTAAGAAGAAATAATTCTTCTCCTTCCTCTTCGCTGTCATCTCTTGCAGAAACAATGAATGATTTGTTGGTTTCTCCTTGTCTGAACTCCAGATACCCAGAAATGGGGTGCAAATCATTCTTTGCAGGCACAGCATGAAGTTCATGTATCTCTTCAGCAGACAGCTTCTGATTGTAGGTCCTCACATCCTGCATCACACCTGTGAACCTGTCACTGCCGCTCATCCCTGCCCCAATTCTCAGTATTCCTGGACCTGAAATTAGACATGAGTACAGGTGCTCCAGCACCCACTGCTGTCCTAGCACGAGTTTCAACTGTGGTTCCAAAAGCATGAAAATTTTACTGAAATATAAGTTTAATAAGCAAAACTTTAGCATAACTAAAACAATGATCAAATAAATATTATTTTCAATTGTGATAAAAATAAATCTGTATAGTAATCATTGGGATTTATGATTTGATATACTAAAAACTAGCATATAATTGTCTTCAAAATTAAATGACATTCTTAAAAGTAATTTGTATCAGTCTGCTAAAAACCTTTTTGGACAGAAAACTAAATAAATACATACATTCATGCATATATATCTACCTATCAATGTATGTGTGTTTTGTATGCATTTGCGAAGACATCTTCTATGACCCTTTGAATTTATTTGTTGACCTAAAAATGGAATAGGTTAATCCAGTTCCAATTTTAAAACTTCAGATGACTACTCTGAGAACTTGTAGGCTCTATGTGTTTAAAAGAGAAAGTAACCTTGAATTAACTGAAATGAGAAGTCAACAAAAAAAAATAAGTTTTTATGGGCCAAATATATCATAGTTATTAGTTGAAACAACAAATGGAATGGAAGCAGAAACTGAAGCAGCTCTTCTTAGAAATATCATATTCAAATATGAAGGGCTTTAAACATAATAACAAAATACAGCCCAGCTAAATGTCACTATGCCTTAGACCTTCATGACAATCCTTTCCAGAATTTCAAGTTTCTGGCTTACTTTTGTTTCGTTAGTTCGGGGTTTGGCTGTTGTTGCTCTTTTGTAAGGATCACATTATTGTCGCTGGCCCACAACTTGTTATGTTGCCCTGGTGAGCCTATAACTCACAGTCCTCCTGCCTCAGCCTCTCAAGTCTGGAATAACAAGTGAGCACCATGTTGCCTGCCTTAGGACCACTAGTTCTTAGTTCTTTTGCGTTGGTTTTCTAATAACCCAAATATGTATGGTGAAAATTTGGCATTGATGGGGGGGAACCTAATGTTCCTACAAGAGCCACAAAGCAGTTTCACAGGTTTTTCTAGGTGGCTCTTCTAACATAGCTTATAAGCATCCTGCACTTTATATGGCATTAGCGATGGCCCTCGTGCCAGCAAGCCAAAACTAATCTTTCACTCAACTCCAGATTGAGTGGGAAACCCCCTGCTGCCATTTCTCATGTTGTGCTATCTGGTAACTGTAATTATATAAGTTCCCCTAATTCTCACAAAAATACGTCACAGCTCTTAACAGCTAGACTCAAGGCTTATAGAAATGATCATATCCTTTAGTTTTGTTTCTGTGATAATATTAAAAGAAATACTGCCCTAGGCATTAAAGTTTTATCTCCTCTGTGGCTTAGCTGTGATGTTGACTAATTTATTTACTAACTCCAACCTCTATTTCCTTACCTATAAAATATTTGATATATTGAAAGTCCAAATTAGGAAAGAATGGAAAACAAAGTCTCATACAAATTTAAGATATTCTAAATGCTCTGTTTCTTTACCCAATTCTATGAAACAAACATTAACTCTGATGTTGAATTTCGACAAAATGATCACTGATTAAAGTGAGTTGTTGAAGTCTCCAATCACCCTTTTAAAGTCAAGCTCTCCTTTTAAGTCTGATGTTTGCATTATATTATGAAGTTAATAGTTCTTGGTAGGATACAAATTTGAAATTATTATTTTTCTTACTAAATAAATCTTTTATTATATAATGACTTTCTGTGTTTGTTTTTACAATTTTGATTTAAAGCTTTATTAAGTGTACTATTACTGCTCCAATCATGTTTGGTTTCTGCTTACATAGTACAACTTTTCCCATTTCTTTGCTTTCAGTCTGTGTGTGTCTTGACTGGTAAAGTGAGTTTCTTTTTAAAAAATATTTATTTATTATTTTTATCTTATGTGTATGAGTGTATTGCCTGCATGCGTGTAAGAGCAACTGCATCATACAATGTCCATGGAGGTCAGAAGAGGGGTGTCAGATCCTGTGGAACTGGAGCTACAGATGGTTCTTAGCCACATGTCATGCTGGGTATCAAATCCAAGTCCTAGTCCTCTGCAGGAGCAGCCAGTGCTCTTAACCACTTAGCCATCTCTCCAGCCCCTAAAGTGAGTTTCTTTTAAGGAGTTTATCTTATCACTAGTTTGGGTTTGGGTTTATAGGTTTTTCAGTCTATGTATTTCAACTGTGGCTTTCAATCCACACATATTCAAGGTTATTATTGGCAATAATTACTCGTATTTTTTCTATTGTTTTGTATAGCCTTTGTTCCTTTCTTCTGTACCTTTGTAGCATATCATTTCTCTGCATTGATAGTGCAGCACGTCCAGTACTAGAATGGGTACCTGTTGGCATCTGAGTACTGCATGGTGACTTTGCAAGGCTTCCAGAGCTCAGTCTACAAAGGCCTGCATACCTGGCTGCTTTCCAAGGTCCAGGGTGAGATCGGTGAGGTCAAGCATCTGATTCTGAGGGCCTCAGTGGACCAAACATCTGAAAACAGGCTACTAAACTAGAGGGTGGGGAGGGCTGCCAAGTTGCTTCCTGAAGGCTAAATGGGCCTAGTCACTAAAGCAAGGCTGCTGGCTACCTCCTGAGGTTGTGTGCAGGTGGGTGTGTACTATCATTCATTTGGTTCCCTTGGCCCTCTGTGGGCTGAGTTGCTCGATTGCCTCTATCTTTTAAAATATATAGTATATTTCATTGATAACTTTCAAAATAAATTCTTAATTTTTAAATGTTTCCTCAAGTTACAGGTTAGTAAAATAACATTGCAGAGGACCCAGGTTCAGTTCCCAGCACCCACATGGCAGCTAACAACCATCCTTAACTCCAGTTCCAGGGGATCCCTTTTCTGACCTCCAACAGGGATTGCATGACATGGTTACACTTACATACATGCATGTAATATACTTATATACATAAAATAAAAATAATAAAATATTTTTTAAGAAAGAAAAAGTAAACAATGCTCATGTGGTTTCTTTTGGCCAGCTTTTTAATGCTAAAAATATATATAGCAAAATACCTAATGCAAGAGGTATTAGGAAAATTCTACCACACTATAGCACTGTTCTACCTTCTTACTGAATATTAAACAGATTCAAATCACAAGACAGAGGGACTTGGTGACTATAATGGAGACAACCTATATTGTGTGCACACAGGCCACAGTGGGTTTCTCAAGGAAAGGGTATGTAATTTGGTTAAAAGTCAATTCTCTTCAAAGCATTCCATAAGTTCATCAGTTCACCTACGGGCAGTATAAACCCTTTCATCAGCTCTTCAACCTTATGTCCTCCATTCTTCACTTCCAATAATAGTAAACTAGAAAAGATTCCCTAGATACAATACAACGATCACATGCCACACCTTTGCATATTCCTCTGCCTGAAATGTTCCCTATCCTGACTACTAACTACAAGAAAGATAAATGATCCTCCTCCATAATTTTGTCTTTCTTCCCATAATGTTTTCATGTCTCTCCCCTAATTACTATTTCTGATTCGTCTAAGCTAATGGCCTGTTCATTTCTGCAACATTCAACACAGATGTATCATGGTCTTGGGAGGATCGTAGTTTTGTTAAAAGAAAGCAAACTAATATAAAAAATGGGATTTGGGGAGCTGGAGAAATGTCTCAGTGGTTAAAAGCACTGGCTGCTCTTCCAGAGGACTCAGGTTCAATTCCTAGCACCCACATGGCAGATAACAAACATCTGTAACTTCAATTCCAGGAAATCTGATGCCCTGGCCTCCACAGGCACTGCACACATTGGGTGCATTTATATCTATGCATGCAAAACACTTATATATGTTTTAAAATAAAAATAATAAAAGCTGGATTTTGGAAATGTGTACTAGCTTTTTTATAAATGAAAATTTTAAATGAGGATTTTTAGAATCTTCCAAGTTCACTGCCTAAGATGTATAGCTGACACTCACCATCAATAATGGCTTCTCCCTTCAGACTCTTGATTCCTCTGGGCATTGGATTTCCATCCAGGTAGAACTCAATTATGCCATCATCCAAGGTAATTAAAACATGAAGCCAAACACCTTCTTCTAAATATTTCGTGACTGTGGTCTTGGCAATGTATGTCACATTGGATCCAAAAGTTTTATAATGAAGAGAAAGAGTCACATGGGATTCATTTGTTTGAATTTTTACCCCATAGTAGATGCTTCCATTTGCATCATCTTTTGCTATAAGAAATCCATTTGTATTGGCATTAGGCATCACCCAGGCAGAAAATGTAAAGTTGGCAATTGTGTTATTCCTGGAGGGACAGTACTTCGATTCAACAGTCCCAAATGCACCCTCCACTCCACTGAAGTACAAGGCATCTGTTCCAGTGTGGTGACGTCGCATATGTGGTTGTAAATGCACAGTGCTAGGGAAAATTCCAACCAGAAGAAAGTCAATCATTGGTGGCAAACCAGCAGTGAATTCTCTTGATAGTATTTCCCAGCCAACCCGTACATCACCAAAGACACCCTGTTGCCTCAAAATGGTGAATTTGGTAATATAGGATATGTCATCTTCTGAGGGGACATCTTCTGCCACTTCTCTCTCTAAACATTCTGGATCTAAGGTGAAAATTCCAAAGGGATCATCATTAAATGGAATCATTACTGTCACCTGAAGGTTGGATTCTGCTAGTTGACCTCCAGGACCCGGAGAACCACCTGTAATAAGACAATTTAGAATGACTTTAAAAAAAGAAATTGAAAACTTTTAGCAAAAGGTTAGAAACAAAAGCAGTATGCTTTGCAGGCAAATTTCTAGTTAAATTATATACTCAGTGAACAATGGAATCACTATATTGTTTCCATCCCATTTTTAAGGGCAACTTTATCAAAAACATCTATTTAGCATAATTATATTAATAATAAAACCCCAAAAGAAGATATAAAATCAAATATGATGGGATGGATGAAGCCTCCATCCGTAAAACTGAACCTAGCTAAGACCATAGACTAAACATGAAAAGCAAGTTCAGGGCTGAGGGCAGAGTGGAGCAGTAGAACACATACTCTGTATTCATAAGACCCTAGATGCTATCGCTAGCACCAATAAATAAATAAACAAGAAAAATAAAGCCAAGCATAATGCCACATGCTCATAATTCCAGCACTCTGGAGATGGAGGAATGGAATCTGGAGTTGAAGGCCAGCTTGAGCAACACAGTGAGACAGTGTTTCAACAAATCAAAGGTTGGGGAAGAACACTCATCTAGCATGTACATGGCTCATGTTTTGACTCCCAGCACTACAAAAACAAAAAATAAATAATACTTCTACCAAGGAGAATTCTTTGACATTAAAGTCAGACTATCCTGATACATTTACTTCACCATCAACCAGATTTTGTGTACAACTCCATTTAAATATAAACTATAAAATTTTGGTGATAAGCCAGGTGATTTAATCCCAGCATTTGAGAAGCAGAAGTAGGTTGATCTCTGTTAGTTCAAGGCCAGCCTAGTCTACATAGTGAATTCCAGCCCAGCTGGGGCTACAGGGAGACCATGTCTCAAAAAGAAAAAAAAAACCAAAAAAGAGAAAGAAAAATTTGGTGGTAAAATAAGAAATGGAAAAACGTAGCACCTGAAATATTTACAAGTTTCAGGATATAAAACTCATTGAATTCAGGAATTTTGTCTGGAAAAGCTTGGAGAATTATTGATTTTGTTCCTTCTCCATCCATGAAGTTAACAATCCCTGAAGTTTCATAGAACTCTTGTCCAGGCTGCAGAATAGACGCATTATGAAACAGCTGCCAGGTCACAGAAACGTTACCAAAGTGTCCTCGATGCCTCCAAATCCTATGTAAAAATTGAATAAAACTAATTGTTATGAAACGTGTATGCAATAAATATAGTTACAATGAAAACCTTCTGTGTTCTCTTGAAAGTATATATTTTCTATTTATGATCAAACTAGCAAGCCAGTCTACTGAGAAACCAGGGAAAGAGGACAAGTCAGAACTTCATATAATAAAGAAAAGCAATATTTTAAAAACTCAAGTCTTCAAAGTCCAATCAGGAAAGTAAATTCTAAGTGCAACTGAAAAAGATTTTGATGATAATTGGTAAAATTCTTTCAAAAAAAATACTAAGTGAAAGCAGTCACAGGTTATCTGGAAATAATTGTGAAGCCTGGATAGCTGGAGTCTCCCAGTCTTCTGAAGATAGAACTGGGAGTGTGGAGGGTGAAGAGATTAAGTGGTGCTTAGTAGCTAAACTGTTCTTGTGGGTGGTATTTAAAACGAAGTGTAAACAAGGTTAGCATTCAATTATATTGTCAATTTTATCTTCGTAGATTAACAATATTTCGTTTTACTTATCCAACTTTCTGATTTTGTTGTAAGCAGTTTTAGCTTTCCTTATTCAAATACACTTACCAAAATACATTAGTCTTTCCTTCTTCTACTGCTTTGTCTATGGGCTCCAGAGAAAAAATACCATTTGGGTCATCATTGGCTTCAATTATCACTGTAGCTACTCCATGTTGATATACTACTGTGTCGCCTAAATTAAACATGGAAACTCAAAGTAATTAAAACATAGCTACTTCACTTTTACTTTAATAAAATTGTGGGGTTTTTACCTGTAGTGATTTTATTTGCTTGAATTTAAGTTAAATATAAAACTGCAGATATAAAAGTGTACATATGAGCTGAGGAGATGGCTCAGTGGGTAACCAAGCACGAGGACCTAAGTTGGGATTCCCAGCATCCAAGGAAAAGCCAGGTGTATCTGTAATCCCAGTGATGAGGGAGGACAAAAACAGGTAGATCCTGAGAACTCCTGGCCAGCCTAGCTGAAACAGCAAGGTTCAATGAAAGACCCCACCCCCAAAAATAGGTGGAGAGTGAGAGAGGACATTAACAGCAAGCTCTGGCCTCTTGGGTGAGTACAAGGGTGAGCACACACACCCACACACTCATATGCATAAATCACACACACACACAAAATGCATATGCACACATTCACATATGTGTATTTATATTTCCAGTCTCTCTATATTAAGAGGATCTAGAAAAAACAAAACCTCAGTAGCAATAACAAAACCCACTGATCAGGTACTATACATTGTATAACATTCTTAAAATCAGGGCTTCCTAGAGAACTGGCTAATTTCATCATTGTCACAGGAAAATTACAGAAAGAGCTTGCAACAGCTCTCTGTACTAGAAAGTAGGAACATGCTTAAAGAATACTGGGGACATGTCAAAAAGACAAAGAAGTTATACTGAACAGTCAAATTTGGGCCAGTATAATCATAAAAATACATTACGGTAATAAAAATTAACCCACAGCATAAATAGAAACTGGGATTTCATACTGGTAAATGTCAGTGCTAATGAATTTTTTTTGAGCAACAGGACATTTATATAATTTCAAAGAAACTCATTACATTTATTAATTACAATGAAAAAAGTAAACATGTAGATCATCACTTTAATTGTACTGAAAATAAATGTCATAATGAAAAGACAAAACAAAATCCTGACAGAGATAGTAAGACAAGACTACTTATGTGGTATTCTTACCCAGGATGCAAACCCTGAACAAAATAAATAAGACTCATCATAAAACTCAAAATCAGGGACAGGGTAGGGTAAGAGTGAGATTCTAGCAGACAGCCTGAGAGGGTAGTTTGGACCTCCATTGGGGTAGCTGCTCAGAGCTCAGTGGACCACCAGAGAGTGTGGGGTTCTGGCCTCCCTCTGGCCTCTAAATACCAAAGGGCCTGAGAACCCTGGGGACAGCCTGACAGCCCCCGGATCCTGTCTCCACGTGGTGATGAGCTTCCCCTAATTGTGCCATACCAACCCCTAGCTGGAATTTTGTGAGTTCCCTCCCAAGGCCCCAGGGCAGATCTGGCTTTAGTAGGCTAAGGCTGGGGCCTCAACAGATCTCCAGAGAGTGCAAAGTTCTGGGCCCCCTCTGGCCATCCTCTGGCATAGGGTTGACAACGAACATGAATGCCTGAGAGACCCTGGATCCTGCCTGCACATGGTGAAGGAAGCTTGAGGGTATCTGACTGGAACCTGAATTGCGCTTTTGTGGGTACCCCTGAATAACTGTTCTGAAGCCATTAGTTACCTCCAAAATAAACCTGAAAGAACCTGAACCCTGTACCAACCAGCTTTACATAACAAATAAAGAAAAGATCTAGACACCTGGATAATACAAACAGAAGCGTACTTCAACTTAATTCTCATATCAGAATCATAAACAACAAAAGAAATTCATATGCCAAAACCACAATGAAATAATAATAAAATGGAAAGCCAAACACTATGTCCCCAGCAAAGTCCACCAATCCCGTAGAAGAGTTCTCAAGGAAAACCCCCTAGACCTGAATTTAACCCAGGACACTGAATTTAAAAGAACAATCATAAACATGATCAAGGAATTCAACGAATTTAAAGAACACATGAACAAACAAATCAAAGAGCTAAAAGAAAATAGGGATAAAATTCTGAAGGAATTCACAAACTAGATATAAATATTGAAGAAAACTCAGTCAGAAATGAAGGAAGTACAAAACTCAGTAAGTCAACTTGAAACAAGAGGGGAAAGCCTCAGATCTAGAATGAATGAAATGGAAAACAGAATATCAACACTGGAGGATAAAGTTGAAGAACTGGACCACTCAAGCAAAGGGTATGGAAAATTAAAAAAAAAAAAAAAAACCACAGGAATGGAATATGCAAGAGATGTGGGACACAATGAAAAGACCAAATCTACAGATCACAGTAAGAAAGGAGAAGAATTTCAGGTTAATGGTGTTGACCAGATCTTAAATAGGATTGTAGAAGAGGATTTCCCGATATTAAGGAAAGACATCCCCATACAAATATGGGAAGCACATAGAACACCAAATACACGGGATAAGAAAAGAAAATCCCCATGACATATCATAGTAAAAACACTAAATATACAGAACAAAGAGAGAATACTGAAAGCAGCAAAAGAAAAACAAGTCACAACAAAAGAAAGCCCATCAGAATTACAGCTGACTTACCAATGCAAACTATGAAAGCCAGAAGAGCCTGGATGAATGTATTTCCAATTCTACATGACATTAGATGCCAACCCAGAATACAATACCCAGCAAAAATGTCTATTGAAGTTGAGGGGAAAAGAAAAATCTTCCATACATGAATAGCCTGAAAGGTCCAGAAAACCAGCCCTTCAAAGAATACTTGAAGCAATACAGAGAGCAGAGAGAGAAACAGCTATACCTTGGAGCAACAAAACAAAATAAAGATATAATCTAGGAAACACAAAATTACACAGAGAACAAAAACAGCAATCAAAGTGACCTCAACCAATACACACCTTTCAATAACAACCTTAAATATCAATGGACTAAACTCCCCAGTCAAAAGACACAGGGTAAGTGAAAGGATTAAAAAACAAACTCCATCTCTTTGCTGTCTGCAAGAAACCCATCTCACCTTCAAGGACAGGCACTACCTTAA